AAGAAGAAGAAGAAGAAGAAGCTAAAGGCAAAGGTATATTGCATATTTATGCTTCTAATTACTGTACATTTTTTTCTCATCTCTCTCTTTTTCTCTCTTTTTTGTTCAAAACCGAAGAATTCAGACGTAAATTTGAACCAAAATTAATAAGAATAATGAACTCTAAACGTTCATCTTCTCCATGCAACATAGGTTTGGTGCAAAGAATATTACAACAGTTAGGAAATACAGCAAATCCTCCTCTATGCTGCGGAAGCAAGTCTCTCTGCAATAAGACGCAAAAAAATATTGCATTTTGTCTATTTCCTGTTTAAAAAATTTCACTAATCACCAAATATTTGAAACAATCATATATTTCACATTGACCGTGACTAAATTTTATGGTGAACACAAGTTTATAAATTTACAATTATGTGTTTACTTTTTCAAATCCTTTTTAATTGTTTTGTTGTATTAACTTTATATTAATTAAAACTTCATTTAGTATGGTTGTGATTTTAAGTTTTTGTTTTTGTTTTAAAAAATTTATAAGCCTTAGATAAAATTAAAAATTTCTATAAATTAACTAAATTTAGAGTTTTAGGCATTTGTTTTAAAATTTTATGCTCAATAAATTGACAATTTTAATTTTGGCTATTAATTTTTCATTTTAATTGTTTGAATTTTAAAAATTAAAAATTAAAATTTAAAATCACAACCAAAGTAAATAGAGGTTAAATTGATAATTTTATATAACAAATAAATAAAAATTAAAAATTTTTATTTAAATAAAATATTCAACAAATATTATAATTAAAAAATTAATTATCATATATTTATTATATAATTATCAAGTCAAAATTTATGTAAAAATTAAATTAATACAAATAAAATAGACTGTAAGAAAATAATATTTTAGGTGCAATTTTAATTTAGATATTGATGAATTTAGCTCCCTCTTTTCAAATCCTAGTTCCATCACTGGTAATTGACATTGTAAGCGTTATCTTGCCCTACCGAAGCAAACTGTTTCAGATTTTCCAAAACACCAATGTTGCAAGTCATTGTCCGTTATTGTTGGAGGCTCACCTATGTTTTCTCCTCCAATCAATCAAGTGTTGCGCGGTCCTCCTCCTCAGTTGACTTACAATGCACAATTAAGAGAGTGCTTAGGGTTTCTCCCTCCCTGACAAAGTCGTGATGTTAGGGATATAAGAGATCTAGAGCACCCATGTTTTGTTTGAAATGATTCTTATAATCCTTGGAGTGCTTAAAAACCTTGTTTTTCAAAATTATAATTGGCTACAAGGAAGAGGTCGACTCAATGGCGTCAGAAGAGAGGAGGGTCATGATTTTTTTATATTTATTTTTTAGAATTTGTTTGCTACTATAGGAGTCATTCTGCTAAAGTATTGGAAAAAAAAATCTTTTTCGTTATGTTCTTGAGCTTCGATTAGCGGAAGGGGAGAAGAAGCTTGTCTGAAGAAAAAAATGGGAACGATTGTTTTAGCCGAAGAAAATTAAAAACCTCTTTTTAGAAAAATGACAGCGTGTTAATATTTTTTACACGTAGTCCTGCTTTTCCATTTCCCCCATCTAAGCACACTTCTTTTTTTTTTTTTTTAATGTAAGTCTTTCCGC